AGCCTACCTTCCTCCTCCTACTCCTCCTCCTCCCTCCTCCCTCCTCCCTCCTCCCTCCTCCCTCCTCCCTCCTCCCTCCTCCCTCCCTCCTCCCTCCTCCTCATCCCTCCTCCTCCTCTTCCTCCTCACTCCTCTCCTCCTCCTCCTCCTTCCCCTCTCCTCCCATCCTCCTCCTCCTCCTCCTCCTCCTCCTCCTCCTCTTCCTCCTCCTCCTCCTCCTTTTCCTCCTCCTAACTCCTCCTCCTCCTTCTCCTCCTCCTCCTCCTCTCCTCCTCCTCCTCCCTCCTCCTCACTTCCTCCTCCTACTACTCCCCCTCCACTCCTCCTCCTCCTCTACTCCCCCTCCCACTCTTCTCCTCTCCTCCTCCTCCTCCTCCTCCTCGTCCCTCGTCTTCCTCCTCATCCTCCTCCTCCTCCTCCTCCTCTTCCTCCTCTCCTCCTCCTCCCCTCTCCTTCCTCCTCCTCCTCCTCCTCCTCCTCTTTGGGTCGCCTACGGCCCCGGTGGAACCCGTGCAGTCCTCACCGAACACAGTGGCGTCCCACCGATCGTTGGAGCGGCGCTGCAGTGCTGGTTTGCGCGGTCAGCTTCGAAGAAGAAAACAGGCCAGCGGATTTCTTGGATCCGCGCCTGGGCCCCCCGGCGGCGCCTCCGGCGCCGCCCCTGGCGCGCTCCGCGCTCCAGGGAGGGGGGTCCAGCGCAAATCCAAGGAATCCTCGCGGAGCGCCAAAGGGTTCTGTTGATGTGGTTGTGTCTTCTTCCAGCTTTGCGCGGTCAACTGCGTGGGGCCCCCCCTGGGCTCCCTTGAAGCCGCGCACCAAAGGTCGCCCTAGCCTACTTGGGGTCACTCCTGCGTGTAGTCGACCCACCGCCAGGGCAGCACTGTCAGCGCTGCCCTGTCCGACCCCGGTGTGCGTTCTGGGCGTCCTGGCCCCGCGCAGCGCGCAGAGGGGGAGGGGGGCAGGAGAAGGCCGCCAGGAGCCCGCCACAGAGCGCGAGGTACACTTCTGAGGAGGGCGAGGGGGAGGATGACGCTCGGTCGTGCATAAGACTCAAGGGTGGCCCTTCGCAGGAGCGCCCTCTGATGCGGGCCCCTCCGGGCCTCCCGATCGCTGACTGCGTTGCGACAAGAGCGGCTTGCGCGCTTGGCTTTGGCATAAGGCGCGCACCGAAGGTCACTCTTGCCTCCCCTGCGTGTAGCCGAGATTGCGGGAGGAGGGGAGAGAGGGCGAGGACAAGCTAGGTGCGCAAGCGTCTTGTCTGACATCCTACCCTCCCTCCCATCCCTTACCATGGCGTAGATCCCCCCTCTAGTCGCACAGTCGGATGTCAAGCAGGGCAACGGTAGTGCACGGCGCAGCACAGTGTAGAAGAGCATGGCAGAGCGTCATATGTCATGGCATGGCGTTGCATTGCGTAGTGACGTATTGCAGCGCAAAGCATGGCATCGCGAGGGACGGTTCGGAAAGAGCGGACGCGTACAATGAGAGCGAACCGCAACAAAGAAATGAGGAGCGCTGCAGCGGGAGTGTGCTTTGAAAGGGCCGCGATCCGGAACATGGAGCCAACGCTGTAGCGGGAGCGCCGATCCGGAAGCCCGGAGACGCTGGGATGGGACAAAAACAGCACACACGATCAACCACCTCGTGGGGTCCCTGTGCGGGACAAAAGTTTTAGACGCGGAGGGGGGGGGCAGGCTGCGACCTCGGGGTCTTTCTCGGGGGGGAGAGGAGTGCAGCAATGGAGGATGACGATTAATAAATGACCGGGGGGTCGTGTTCACGCGGCGGCGCCCGGGATGACGATTAGAAAAAGCCGGCCGCGGGCTGGACAACTATTTTTTAATCGTTCTCCTCGTGCAGAAATAGCAGAAAACTAGTTTGTTTTAAACGTTCTCTCTCATTTGTTTACTAATCGTCATCCCGCATTACAGTCGGGGCGCTGAGGAAGGAACCCTTTTCGTTGGGGAGGGGCTCGGTGTTCCTTAGTTGTTTTGTAGTTCGCCTTGGATTTTCCTTGTGTTTTCGATGCGAAGTCGAAGTTCAACTCATGGAAAAAAGGGGCCTCGTTCCTTATTTTGGGTTCCTTAGGTCAACGCCCCGACTGTACTCATACTGTGTATATAATCGTGCAGTCTGCCAGGAAGCTGGGTACGCACGGCGTGGGCCAGCCTTCAGAGCCCCACATCATCAGGGGTAACTCGGGTCAGGGCTAAACTCGGGTTCCTTTTTCGGGAATCCGAACCCGAGTTACCCCGGACCCCACTTACCCCGGATAATTCGGGCGTCCAGAGCCCCACATCATCAGGGGTAACTCGGGTCAGGGCTAAACTCGGGTTCCTTTTTCGGGAATCCGAACCCGAGTTACCCCGGACCCGAGCTACCCCGGATAACTCGGGCGCCCAGAGCCTGGGCGAGAGCAGGCTCGCTACACGTGGTCGGACGCCTCTCCAGCGCCCGGCCCCACTCCAGCCGCGTCGGCCGGGCCTCCGCGCGCGTGTGCGGCGCGTGGCCACCGGAGGCTCCACGTGTGAATCCAGCCACGTGTCTCTCCAGCTTCTTGGCGCTGTGAAGGGGAGGGGGAGCAGAAGGGGGAGTGGGCAGCACAAGCAGGATCAGCAGTCTCAGGAGGGGGGAATGGTGGAGGGGGTGGAGGAGACGGACCGAGGAGGCCGAGGAGGCGGAGGAGGAGCGGACGATGATGTGTCACCATGGAGGAGGAGGAGGAGGAGGAGGAGGAGGAGGAGGAGGAGGAGGAGGAGGAGAAGGAGAAGAAGAGGAGGAGGAGGAGGAGGAGGAGGAGGAGGAGGAGGATAGGGAGAGGGGAGAGGAGGATGAAGCAGAATACGACGAGGATACAGGACGAGCAGGAGGATCAGGGGATGGGGTGTGAGGACCAGGAGGACGAGGACGAAGACGAGGAGGATCACAATGAGAAGGAGAGGAAGTCATGGCTAGAGGTGGGGAGAAGAAGGGTGAGGGGGGTGAAGGAGCAGGAGCAGGATGAGGAGGAAGAGGACGACGAAGGAGGTGTGGGGTGAAGGACGAGTGCTCTCTCCCCCTCGCTGGCCCAGGACTAACAACCCCAGAGCGCACTTGCTGGCTAGGATCCGGCAGCGTTTTGATGACAGGTCGAAGGTCAGCAAGGCCGAAGGCCCTGCCATGTTAGGGGATGCTAGGGGGATGTTGAGGCGAGTCGGACGACGGTGTGGGAGCGGGCTGGGAACAGGCCTGCTGATGCGTATGCGCGCCGAGGTGCCAAGTGCCATCCTTATTTCACGGCAGCGGCGCGGGACATCGATTCCCCCCATCGCCTGGCCCAGGCGGTGTCTGGGTGGGCTGGAGTCCAGGAGGTAAGCATCGCAGGCGGCACCCTGCAGGACGCCCCTGGGCTTCCGTGGACAAGGCGAGCCCGGGCCGGCATGGGGAAGGGACTTCCCCCGCACCCGCAGCCTGCCGCCGCCTTGACATCGCTAGGCAGGCTTCGCTCCGAGGTCCCGGTTTCGGGAGCGCGGACCCGGAGCCCTCGGGATGCTGAGCTCCGACTGCTGCTGGCGCTCCTGGGGCATGATTTCCGTTGTGGCCAAGGTTATTGGTGCCGACGGGGCCCCCGTTTCGCCTGGGCCTACAGTCGGGGCGCTGAAGAAGGAACCCTTTTCGTTGGGGGGGGGGGGGGCTCGGTGTTCCTCGATTTGTGTTACAGCTCGCCACAGGGTTTCCTGAGGTTCTCCATGGGAAGTAGAAGTAGAACTTATGGAGAAAAAGGGGCCTCGTTTCTTGTGTAGGGTTCCTTAGGTCAACGCCCCGACTGTAGGGTGTGCGGTTTGCGCTGCCGGTGGAGGCTGCGCGTGGTCGGCGTCCCAGAGGCTCCCCAAGCCCCGCAAGAATCAGGAGGAGAAAAAACACACAGACACAATTAATAGTTGATTCCCCAGGAAATATGGGAAAATATGGGCAGTCTGGGGGGGAAGACAGAAACGCAGAAAATATAGACAAAGATGGGGAATCCTTTGATGTGTGTGTATTTACTTGTGTGTCCCAGGGCCCCTTCAAATAAGCGGCCCCCTGTGCAAAGCACGCCCGTCGGCAGCTGTCACGTGCCCGGGGAGGTGAGTTCCCGTCCTGGGGGGGCCCCGTGCCAAAAGGCTGGACTTGGGGCCGACCGTTGCAGCCTGCGGCCGCCGACCTCTTTGCTCTGGCCGCCCCCCGATGTCTCGGTGGCGCGGTGGCGCACCGCCCCCGGCTGCCAGGCTTGCCCGTCTGGGGGCCGAGGGTGGTCGAGGGGGGGGGTCTCGAGACGTCTCGGATTGCATTCTGGGCCGCTTGACGTTTATGAGGCGTCCTGAGCGCGTCGTCCCCCGAGGTGAGGAGGGCGAGGAGCTCGATGTAAGATCATCGCGTGGTCAGCAAGCTGAAGTGCTGCTGGCACTGTCGCGCGCCTGAGTCGACACACTGAATGAACAGTAGGGTGGGGGACACGGGGGTGGGGTTGGGGAAATTGGATGATGAGGATGCTGCTGCTGCTGCTGAGGAGGAGGAGGAGGAGGAGGAGGAGGAGAAGGAGGAGGAGGAGGAGGATCATGGGGAGGAGGAGGGGCAGGACGACGACGAAGACGGCGGCGGTGGCGACGGCGACGGCGACGCAGCGGGGATGATGAATATTGACTCGGGAGGGAGTATATATATATATATATGTGTCTATATAGATCCCTCCTATATGTTTACAAGCGGGGGGGGGCAGGAAAACCCCTTCTCCCGCCCCCCCCAAAAAAACTGGACCCCCATGATCGCAGGTTTCTGGGCCCCCCGGACATCCTTGCCGAAGGTCCCCTGGCTCGTCCCGGACCTCCCAGGGCGCTTGGCCGGGTCCTGCCAGCAGGCCCTCGGCGATCAGAGCGGTGATCAGAGAGGCCGATAGAGAGATCCAAGACAGCACAAGAGCGGTCCAAGAAGGCCCAGATGGCCTCCAGAGGCCCCCAAGACGGCCCAGGAGGCCCCGCCGTAGCCATTTTGGCTCAAGCAGTTTGGGACCAAGTGGGAATTGGCCTCTGCTAACCTTACTATATTGAGTAGGGAATCGTGCGTGAAGATATGTCAAGGCTTGCAGGCGAGAAGCCGCGAGGTTTGGGCGCAGACGTGCGCAGATTCAGGGCACTGCAAAACGCATCCGTGACGATTTCCGTGGGATGGTTCATCGTTCTGCTCAGCGCTAGTAATGTGCCACCCTTTTCTTTAGCCCTGTGGCACAAGAGCAATTCTTTAAGCCTCATTCGAAGATTAAGCAGTGCTACGGACGACCTGAACAACCCAGCATTTCCAAATGCTTCTGGCGCCGACGCGCCGTCAACTTTGCTGTTATCAGATGCGCTGAAGACGAATGGAACCGCGCTGGCGGGCCGAGCCGACACAGTTGAAGCTCTGAAGCTGACTGGCCAATTGATGCAAGAGTGTGTCGTGTTCTTGAGCACTCTCCTTTGGTCCTCGTTCTGCCTAGTATGGCAGAAAGGTGTACATGTGCGTTACGGGATCTTTGCTGGAATCGCGCTGTTGGCATCAACACTTATTGTGTTCGCGTGGGCGCACTTTCGCAGTAGATCCGGGTTCCACAGTTTGTTCCGCTACGGGGCTCTAGGGGATGCCGACGGAATGAGTCTCTTGTCACCTACCCAATGGATTGGTCTAAATGGTTCGCGCTACGAAGTGCGTTTGGAGCATGATCGGAACGTTGTGTACGCCCTGGGCCCAGACGCAAAAATATCAGATGACGACGATGATCCAGACGAGCAGCGTGATGAGCTGGCATACGCACAAAGATCAGATGACGACGATGATCCAGACGAGCAGCGTGATGCGCCCGCAGAAAGCAAATGGGTGCAGGTGGGCGAATTAGATCGATCTTCAGACGGGACGTTGGCCCTTTACACGGCGGACACAGGGATAAACGGGGACACGGGAGTCTTCACCGAGAAGTGCATCTTATAGCAGAAGGGTACATGGCACCGTTGTCAAACCGATCGTTTGGCGCCTGGTGACCACGTGTTGCTGTTAGATGGGAACAAGTGGGTCGATGGCGTGGTCAAGGTTGTAGACGCTAGCGGGCAGGCAGAGCCCGTACACACCGTTCTTGTGTACGGCATCAGCAGCATGGGTTTGCAGGACGCTAGAATTCCTGAAGTTCGTCGCTGGGAGCTTTTGAAAGTGAAGATTTCGCTGTTGGATCGGATCACGTTGCTGAAGCAGGGTGCCCTATACATCGCAGATGTTTTCCTGGACTTCTACAGCATGGCTGTTTTCATCGAGCACAAGCAGTTCAAATATTTCTGTGCGAACATACTAGCCATTGCCATCTCGGCGCTTGAGAGCCAGAAAATGTTACGGCCTATCACAAACGCATTGCTTTCTTGCAGCGTAGTCGGCGTATTGACGGAACTCTGCTCGCGGAGAAGAATCTGCCAATTCGTAGGAGCATTGACCGGCGTGGACTTTTTTGCTCGAGTGGAGAGAGGCGTGGCGTCGTGGATACCCAACCGAGCGATTTCAATACTTCAGGGGAACAGAGAGTAGTATAGAAGGTATGGGCTCAATGGCAGTCCAGACATACGCCTTTGTGTACTCCTCGGTGTACAGTGTTCAAGACCAGCTCGTAATCGTACTCTCTCTCATGAGCTCTGTTGTCGGATACTCTAGCGCCTCTGGTATTGACGTGGATGAACTCCATTTTGGCCAGCGTTTGGTCGTCCCTCAAGACCAGCGCGACTTCAAAGCTAGGTTTCAGAAAGCCTTGCGCATTGTGCAGCTCACTCGGATTCTCGAGGTCTCGTCCCGTCTTTGCGTGGCGATGTCCTTCAGCGTGGTGTTTCGTCCTTTGGGCGTCATTGCATGGGGCATCTGGAGCGCGTTGTTCACGACAGTGATTTTTCGGTACTGTGGAGAATCCTGGGGCAACGCAGTGTGGAATGCACTTCAGCCTGCATCGTGGATGGGAGCTGCAGAGGCGTATCTCATGAACCAGGAGCTTGAACCAACGCATTACCGGAACCCAGGTGACACACGTAAGATCATATGGATATTTAATCCGTAAGGGCTTCGCCCCCTGCCGCCGGCCCCCTCTCTCGGAGAATGGGCCATGGAAGAGCTAAGTCATGAGGCTTTGGCGCTGACGCGCAGCAGTATCGGAACTCCATGCGAGGCCGATTCGCAATCGGCAAAACCAACTGATCACAAGAGGGGTTACCACACAGGGCGATTGGTAAGACGTGTATGGTTTACGAGCTTGGTTACCACACCTTGGGATTAAAGGGCCGAGGGAGTACTCGCAGTTTGGGTTACCACGCCTTGCGATGGATGTGCGTGAGGGGTGGCACCGAATTTCAGAAATGTGGCAAATCCCCTGTGTTTTTGGACCCTGACCCCGCGGATCTGCGTGAGGGGTGGCACCGAATTTCAGAAATGTGGCAAATCCCTGTGTTTTTGGACCCTGACCCCGCGGATCTGCGTGAGGGGTGGCACCGAATTTCAGAAATGTGGCAAATCCCATGTGTTTTTGGACCCTGACCCCGCGGATCTGCGTGAGGGGTGGCACCGAATTTCAGAAATGTGGCAAATCCCATGTGTTTTTGGACCCTGACCCCGCGGATCTGCGTGAGGGGTGGCACCGAATTTCAGAAATGTGGCAAATCCCTGTGTTTTTGGACCCTGACCCCGCGGATCTGCGTGAGGGGTGGCACCGAATTTCAGAAATGTGGCAAATCCCTGTGTTTTTGGACCCTGACCCCGCGGATCTGCGTGAGGGGTGGCACCGAATTTCAGAAATGGCAAATCCCTGTGTTTTTGGACCCTGACCCCGCGGATCTGCGTGAGGGGTGGCACCGAATTTCAGAAATGTGGCAAATCCCATGTGTTTTTGGACCCTGACCCCGCGGATCTGCGTGAGGGGTGGCACCGAATTTCAGAAATGTGGCAAATCCCATGTGTTTTTGGACCCTGACCCCGCGGATCTGCGTGAGGGGTGGCACCGAATTTCAGAAATGTGGCAAATCCCATGTGTTTTTGGACCCTGACCCCGCGGATCTGCGTGAGGGGTGTCGATTTCGAGCCCCCCCAGCAATTCAGACAACGCGCCCAGGGGGTGCTAAAAAATCCTGTTTGGGCCTCCCCCCCCCTCGCGCGGTCAATCAACTAGTTACAGTAACCAGCAAGAAGCAGAATTGTAACACTGGAAACTACAAGCTACAACTAGTACTGGAAACTACGAACCCGCGCCTACAGCCTGGTGGCCCCACAAGGGGGCCGGCGGATTTCGCCCACGGCATTGAGTCATTTGCAATGGTTTTGGTTCTGTACCTTTTCAAGCCCGCTGCGGTGATTGATGCGCTTTTGCAGGGGCACCAGTCCTACGCGTTCATTTTTGGGCTGCTAGTGACCCCATTGAGTTGGTTGTCGCAGGCATGCGCGCTATGGGCAGGCACCGATCCAGCCCTTCACCGTTTTCAACCACCCGATGAAATGGCACGCGAGAGAGAGCCAGTAGATCCAGGAACCGCTGCGAGTGCAAGTGTATGTTGTCTCTAGCTTAGATCCGGAAATGGTCTCCACGGCAGCACGTCGCGTTCAGCATGCGATATGTGCAAGTGTTATGTGATAGTGTGTGACAGCTTTATCGTCAATGGTAGAGGTGGTATAACATCAACTTCAACCACCAGCGACGTGTTGAGTGCGCAAGCTCATGCGGAGTCCATGGCGCAGATTTGGGCAGTTCCGGTCCGACCCCCATTGTAGATCCCTCCCAGCCAGCACGCCATCGGCGTAGCCTTCAGACGTCGCATGCGCCAACCAGCTAGCACGGCCCACCCAGTTTGGGGCAAGTGGCAGCGTCCAAGGGGGGGCCTCGCTCTTGAGGTATACTAGCCGCGTTGTTGCGCCGCGCGTAGTTTGCGGCAGCTTCGGTGGGTACAGTCGGGCAAAAACTTTGGCTGACCGTCAATGCGAATGCACACTGATACTCTAGTAAACGCAATTCTTTTGATATGATCCAATGGCTGATATCCTGAAGCGTGCCGATCCAACTTGTTTTCTCGCAGAGTGAATGGAACTTGTGCGCGGACTGATGATGTCATCGCCCCGCGTCGCACGCGTGGCGTATATAGGTCCGGATTTTTTCTTCGCGCGAGTCTGATGCTGTAGAGGCGCGGACCAACCCGCATGCCATAACGAGGGCACGTGCGCCAATTTTTGCCAGCGTGCGCCTCAACCAGTAGGTTCTGACCTTCTCGATTTGCCCCGCAATCGGCATGGTCTCTTAGCGTGCTGTCGGCGGCTTGTAGAGGGCATCGCGACCTCATTTTGTGTGCCTTGCCCGTGCACGTTGCCTGTCTGGATGGAGAAAGGACACGCATCAAGCCAAGAGGAGGAGGGGTGGAGGAGGAGGAGGAGGAGGAGGCCACCTGTGCGCGCTACCACTATCTGCTCCCAGCCCTCGCGCAGCGAGGATGGCCGCGTCGCCAGCCGCCTCGCCAGCGTCCTCGCCGGCGGCATGGTGGTGGGATGGCGGTCGTGCTCGTGCCCTCCCGTCCTTCGCTCTCGGCCTCTCCTCCTTCTTCCTCTCGGGGCGGTTTTGCTTCCGAGATTGGGCCTGGCGCGTCTCGAAAGACGCTGCGCGGTAATACTTGCCAGCTACTCCTGCAGTTGAGGGCGCGACGCCCTTGAATTTCGCTTTTTGGCGGCGGCCCTGCCGTTTACCCCGCACAGGCAGTGCCTGTTGGCACATCTCAGGAGCTATATCTAGGTCGGCGCACACGCGCTGCGCTCTTGGCCATCTCGCTCCAGCGCTTCTTCCCGAGGAAGGCTTCCAGTAGCCCGCTCGGCTGCTCTCCTGGCCGCCGTGCTTCAGCGAGCGTCTCTCGAGTAGGTAACTGCACTGTGGCGACAGTGGGGAGATGTGCCATGGGATTTCGAGGAGAGGAGGAGGAGGGGGACTTCGGCATTGGGGGGGACACGCGACTTCTGGAGGCCTCTTGCCATCGAGGCACGGCCACCGACGTTGAGCCGGCCCTGGAGAAGGGGTCGGGAGCTAGAGGGCCCACGTATCGTCAAACATCACGACGTCGGAGGTCCGGATTTTTTCTTCGCGCGAGTCTGATGCTGTAGAGGCGCGGACCAATCCGCATGCCATAACGAGGGCACGTGCGCCAATGTTTGCCAGCGTGCGCCTCAACCAGTAGGTTCTGACCTTCTCGATTTGCTCCGCAATCGGCATGGTCGCTTAGGGTGCTGTCGGCGGCTTGTAGAGGGCATCGCGACCGCATTTTGTGTGCCTTGCCCGTGCACGTTGCCTGTCTGGATGGATGGAGAAAGGACGCGCAGAGGAGGAGGAGGAGGAGGAGGAGGAGGAGGAGGAGGCCACCTGTGCGCGCTACCACTATCTGCTCCCAGCCCTCGCGCAGCGAGGATGGCCGCGTCGCCAGCCGCCTCGCCAGCGTCCTCGCCGGCGGCATGGTGGTGGGATGGCGGTCGTGCTCGTGCCCTCCCGTCCTTCGCTCTCGGCCTCTCCTCCTTCTTCCTCTCGGGGCGGTTTTGCTTCCGAGATTGGGCCTGGCGCGTCTCGAAAGACGCTGCGCGGTAATACTTGCCAGCTACTCCTGCAGTTGAGGGCGCGACGCCCTTGAATTCGCTTTTTGGCGGCGGCCCTGCCGTTTACCCCGCACATGCAGTGCCTGTTGGCACATCTCAGGAGCTATATCTAGGTCGGCGCACACGCGCTGCGCTCTTGGCCATCTCGCTCCAGCGCTTCTTCCCGAGGAAGGCTTCCAGTAGCCCGCTCGGCTGCTCTCCTGGCCGCCGTGCTTCAGCGAGCGTCTCTCGAGTAGGTAACTGCACTGTGGCGACAGTGGGGAGATGTGCCATGGGATTTCGAGGAGATGATTGGGAGGGGGTGCTTATTAACAGGGAACAGTGATAGAGAGAAAAAGAAACGCGTTATACCACCTAAGCCCAGAGGGCTGGTGGGACTCGGAGGGTGTACCCGGCGCCTTGATTTTTTTGACGTGGGAGCTTCAGCGTGTGGCGTCTTATCCAGCAGCTCGTGGCACCGCTGCTGCAGTACATGGAGCGTCGAACCCCGTCTCGCTCACACTTGAGGGCCGCGCACGAGGCGCAGTTCTGTGTGTCCTGTCTGAGCCCCCCCCCAAAAAAACGGCCCAGGAGGCCCGCAGCAGGGCTCCCAGAATGCAGAAATCCCTTCATCTCTTTGGGGCAAGCGTGTACTTTCAGCACATTCGCTGTTCAGGTCTTAGCAGCGTCCAAAACAGCCAAGAAGATGTCTGGTGTCGCCCCAAGATGGCCCAAGAGACCCCCCAGAGAGACACTAGACGGCCTGGATTGCCCAAAGACTGCCCAAGGAATCCCCAACTGAGCCAGAAAGAGGCCCAACAGGCCTTCACAAGGCTCCGAAGCGATCAGAGCGGTGATCAGACAGGCCGAAGAAAGACCCAAGACAGCACAAGAGCGGTCCAAGAAGGACCCAGATGGCCTCCAGAGGCCCCCAAGACGGCCCAGGAGGCCCCCAACAGGGCTCCCAGAATGCAGAAATCCCTTCATCTCTTTGGGGCAAACGTGTAGTTTCAGCACATTCGCTGTTCAAGTCTTAGCAGCGTCCCAATTAGCCAAGAAGACCTCCGGTATCGCCCCAAGACGGTCCAAGAGAGCCCCAAGAGAGCCACTAGACGGCCTGGATGGCCCCAAGACTGCCCAAGGGAACCCCCAATGAGCCAAAAAGAGGCCCAACAGGCCTTCACAAGGCCCCCAAGAGAAGCCCTAGAAGGCCATGGGAGGCCCCCCAAAGGCCATGCGAGGCCAACAGGAGGGCCTACGTAGCCCCCGTACGGTCCCTGAGGACCCAAGCTCCCCAAGACGGCCCAAGATGGCCCTAAGACGGCTCGAGACGGCCCCAAGTTGGCCGGCCCACCAGGGCTCCAACAAGGCACACGGCGTTTTCCACCAAATTGGCCCGAATCCCGGGCTCGCAACCACAAATCCCGGAAATCTGTTGCGAACTCGGGATTGGTGCATTCCCAGAGAATTATTTGCGTTCGCGTGCCTCATTGCGACCCGCTGCAACCCGCTGCAACATTCTTCGCCGTCCCCCGACGGCGCCCTCCTCTTACTCCTCCTTGTCTGGAAGGGGCCAAATTTCCAAGGCCACTAGGGATGGCGTGAACGACCAACAGATGCAAGCCTCGAGGACAAAGGTGCATGGCGTGAAGCGCCAATGCAGACACATATGAAGGGTAGCTATTGCTTTTTGATGCTCGGCGCCATGCAGGGTTCTGTGTGTTCTGGGGCCACGGCCGGACGTAACTCGAGCAGCAGGTGGTCGGCGACCAGAACGACGGCGCGGCAGAGTGCGAGTGTCTCGTCTTCTCGGAGACAGACATCCAGGGGCCGTGCCCAGGCCCTGGGACAATCAGCCTGCGGCAGTCGGACCGAGGCATAAGATCGAGGTCTGTTCGGGGAGGGTGCCCTCATGCCCTTCGCGCTTGCTGGGTGTGCTTGTGCATCCTGGGGAGGGTATAATCACCCTCGGATGTTCTGTGTGTGTGTGTGTTGGCTGGCGGAGGGTCTCATGTTCCTGACCTGGGCAGGCGCCGAGAGGTCTGCTCAGGCCGCCGACCCCGCAGAGTCTGCTCGTCGGGGGTCCGGGGCCAAGGGGGGGGGGATGCGAGAGGAGGGCAGCGTATGGTGTGGAGATGGGAGAAGAGATCCCAGGCGTGATGGCGTCGTAAGAAAATGCAGGACGGCACGTTTTGCACTATTTTCGGCCCTCGAAGGCCCTCGCCGGGCCTCGGGACCGTCAAACAACGACTCAGGACGAAATACCGGTCCCGAGGAAAGGGTCGGGACTTCCAGGAACAAATCAGGACGTCGCATGTCTGGGCTAAGAGCGGGGGACGGAGCAAAGTGGAGGGAGGGAAGGGCCGGAGGGATGGAAGGAGGAGGAAGGATAGGAAGAAAAAGCGGGCAAGGATTTGCGCGAGATGAGGGGGGGCAACATTGGGGGAAGGGAGCAGGCAGGGAGGGAAGGACGGGTGCAGAAGGATAGGACTAGGGGGGTTGAGGGCGAGGAGAGGGGATAGGAGGATGAGGAGGCGGAGGCGGAGCAGGAGGAGGGGCGGGAGGAGGGCAATGGTGCACTGGGGGATGCGTACGCGGGGCGGTAGCATACATATATATATATATATATATATATATAAATGTATTCGGGCGACCGAGGTCTACGCGTATCTCAGCCACCTGAAGTACCTCGACTACATGCTGATCGACCGGAAGGCCGTCCGGCGATGCCTTCCCTTCGAGCCGATTCCGACCTCGTGATTTCCGATGCAGCCCGAGCCGACGCACCTTTCAGTTCGACCCGGCTTCCCCATCCGATGCCGACCGATCCTGGATGCAGGCGTGCGGGCAGGCTCGGAGGGAGGAGCAGAGACGCCGCCACCACCAAGGGAGCCACCTCCAGCGAGGAGGCCCGCGATGCCTCCTCGAGCTGCAGGATCCCGGCGTCGTGATGTTTCTGTTCACTTCGGAGCGACGACCCCTTCCTTGGGACGGTAGCTTCCTCTCCCTGGAGATCTTGCCCGCGATGGTGCTCTGGCCGTCGACGGCTCTGCGTCGTCTGCGCGGGGCTGGCCGCCTGGCCGCCGAGCAGCTCCTGCCTCCCGGGGGGCCGTTTTTCGGCGTCGTCCCGAGCTCGTCCGGTGGGGCCGACCTTGCACCACGAGCGTTCTTCTCCTGTCACGGAGGCCCGGCAAGGGCCCCCCCCGGCGGGCGGAGCTGTTAAAAACGCGATAAGCAATTAATTGTCAGGAGGGGGAAAAACACACAGACACAATGAATCGTCGATCCCCAGGAAAATAGGGGAAAATATGGGAAGTGGGGGGGAAGACAAAAAACCCGAAAATATGTGAAAATATAGGGGATCTTGTTATTTGTGTCTATTTCTTTGTGTGTCCCAGGGCCCCTTCAAATTGGTGAAGACGGGGGTGAGGGATCTTGCGTTCGCGGTTATTCTGGCAGGCGCAAGGAAGCCTTCCCTATTGCATGGCCCCCTGTTTCCTCTCGGTATGCCACCTGGCCCTTCTCGTCCGCATTCGCTGACCCCCTCTTCTTGCCCACCCCCCTTTCTACTTCGGCGCACCTGAAAATGTTCCGTCCCGTCTTTCTCGCGACGGAAAGACCCACACACCCGATGTCGTGTCCTTTCAAAATGTGATCCCCGCATGACCCGACCCTTGCCCTCGTGGCCAGCGTTTCGTCCCGAATCGTCTTCTCTACCAGCCCTGGCGCCCGGCGAGGGCCCCGGCCGAAGGCGACGAGCAAAAGGCGATTCGATGTTCTAGTTAGACGTTCCCGACTTGCGATCTGCTTTTTCCAGTGCGCCGCCCCCGAGGTCCCGCCCCCCTGCTCCGGTGTGCCTCTCTCGCCCCCCCCCCCACGGATCTGTGTTTGAGCAGCCCCAGGGTCCGATGACGGGCCCACGAGGCCGAACGGTTCACGGAAAGGCGCTGGGGTTGAGGGCATCAGATCTTCGGAGGGGTCGGATGTCCAGGGAGATCGGCTGCCGGCGCGCACGAGGGAGCGGCTCGAGGGGGGGGGGCCTTCTTCAGGAGGCGGGGCGGGGGGCGTCGTAGGAGGTGGCTTCTCCTAGAAGCCCTCGAGCCTTATCGGAAGCCGTCCTCGAAGCCTCCAGGGCTCCTGCGAGAGGCCCCCCCCCCTGCCTCCCCTAGAAGCCCCCCCGTCTTTCTTGGAAGGCCGCCCCGCTCGCGCCACCCCTTTGCGACCGCCGCCAGCTCCCCGAATTATTTGATTCGACGGGCGGGGCCGCACCAGAAGGTCATGACTCGGGTCACCGGCGGCCGTCTGGGACGGCTCGGTCATCCCCTACACCTTAGGCGATGCTTAAGAAAACTTAAATTTTCGGCCAGAGTCTCGATTATTCTTAATGTTTCAATGTAAATCCTAAGATTTGAATGGAAACTTTAGGTTTTTATTCAAGTTCTGAGACTATGAATTTCTTAACCCATGATTTCTTAAGCATTTCGCAGGGTGTAGAGAGCAAGCACCCCGAGGCTGGAACACCGCAGCGAACCGACGGAAGCGCAACGAAACCTCGATCCGAAAACCTCGAGCCTCCAACCTCGAGGAAGAGCAGCCTGCACAGTGATGCTCTTTCGGGGGTCCGCGCAGATCTCCTGCATCCGTGATGGGCCCCCCTGGCAGCGCCAGAGGCGCCGCCAGGCGGACCGGATTCTGTTCGTGCTTAGCCGCTCTTTCTTGGTCCCGAGCCGAAGATCTCCAACCCCGAA